AGACAAAAGCTAAAATGTTCAGAGGATAATATTCTTTTGAACTATATACCTAGTACATGGAATTTGACATCTGGACAACGTAAATGGATTCTCCATGTCCTTGCTATGGCCAAAAGAGAGATATTGCAGCATTGGGAAGATAAATGTATGGCCCCATTTATTCAATGGATTGAAGGCCTGATTGTGCTTGCCACTTATAAGCAGATTGCCTATAGATGTACACTTTGTATGGACAAGTATAATGAAATATGGGACTCATTTATACAAAATATAGTAGGTTAAAAAAAAACCATGATAGTCATATAAATCTATTAGAAAAATATATAAACTTGGATAATATTTATATTAGATAAGTATATATAGAATTGAAATTATTGTTAGAATTAACACTTTTTTCTCTTTGTTGTATTTTTTCACTTTTTTGTTAAACCACTTTTATGTATTTTTTCTTCTTTTTGTAATCAAAAATTTAAACAATAAAGAAATTACAATAAAATCAATAACACTTAAAAAATAAAAGATAAATAGGAGATGGCTGCATCCAAGACAACATAGTTGGCCATTTTTACAGAAACAAGACTATGAGATTACTCTATGCATAATTAAATATGGATCAATCCTATGATAGACAGATCTTATCACTTTCCTTCCTTGTAACCTCAGACCCCATGCAATACTGAGTCTGGCAGGTAAATCAAACTTATTTAAGGCAGTCCTTTAAAGTGTGGCAGAATGTACAGCATCTTTTGACCAAATGGTTTCAAAAGAACACCCAGGATTCCGCCCCAGTTCATTTACATGAAAAGCATAGGCATTACTGGTGAGTTACACTACTGTACATACTTGTCAGGCTCTGAAACCCAAATATTAGGTTTTAATATTGCTTTGCTCTATACTTTGCAGCCTACAGTTTACTTACCTGACATTTAACAATATTTAAGCCATTCAGAATTTGCAAAAGAGTAATGAAAAGTTCTCTGCCCTGACCACTCTTGTATTATTAACCACTTTGAATCTTTTCTGTATAGAAAGGTAGGATTTAAACAGAAATGGTACTATTGCTACTAAAAAGTTGCAACTCACATAGAGCGTGTACATTTTGGGGATTAAGAGAAATGGACTTTGGCTCAAAGACAAAAACTTCAGAACTGGGTCTGAGTGCTCTCTTTAAAACTCCCTACCTTCAGAACTAGACATTAAATTTTGAATTAATATTTAAATAAACTTCTGCATTAATTGAGTAGCATAGAAATCAGCCAATCATGCCTTTCTCCAAGAACAGCAAAAGGATAATGTTAAGCAATTCAGAAGTTATAGATAAAATCACGCTTCTATGTACTAATGTCCAGGTGGATAGATCAGCAAACATGCTTTGAGCTTATTACAAACTGGTATAGCAGATTAATTGTCCTATGATACAGAAAGTTATGCTGATTCAAATCTTCCCTTGGATTATAGGGTTGTAAGAATTGCCAAGAATACAGGACTCTGTCTGAAGACAGAATTCATTACATGCATGCTAAGCTAAGTAATATAATTATTACTGATTTGCATAGGCATAAGAAGTTCAAGATAATGTATCCCTGGAGCCCTGCAGAGCAGAGACAGAAAGGCCAATGGAAGGAATAACAGTTATAGATAATGCAGGGTGGGGAGGACTGGTTAACAGGACTGTCCCCACCCAAGAGCTGGGAACAATAAGCTCAGTGGCACTTCTGCTCTTTGAACCTGACAAAGGACAAGGGGTCATTGGGTGTCTGATGTTTTTCTGCTGCTCCATTCTGAAATAAAGAACTCCTATCAGTAGACAGATTCCCGTGCAAGGTTGCAGTTCGTCGGCTGTCCTTCTTTTGCTCTTCCACAGACTGGCCTCTAGTCATCCATTCTCTGTGCCCAGAGAATTGTTTGGTACAAAGAAACAGCCTGTCAAGCCTTGTTAAGTATCAACTAT